ACTGTTACATTGAGTAAGTTTTTTATGTTTCTTGAATATTAACTCTGTGCCAGTTTCATTATGTGTTAACATTTTCTCGCATTCAGGAGAATGCTTTTTTATTTGCTTATATTTTCTTTGACTGTATTGTTAATACTGCATTGTTTCTTTCACTGCTTGTTAATTTGAAGTTATCCCACTTATTTGTCTTTGCTTTTATTTCCTCATTGTAGGGGTCGAGTCACCAAAAGTATCTTTATCATTGATGTCTTCAAACATACAGCCATTTTTTATATATACTTTACTGTTTAGGTCTTGTAGCTACGTCTTAAATTCATTTAGAATTTATGTGCCCAGCCACATTGCCCAGCTCTTCTCTTTTCCCCACAGATGAGGAGAGGGTAATTGGCTTTGCGTCAGTAGACCTCTCCCCACTTCTCTCTGGCTTCCAGTTTGTTTGTGGTTGGTACAACATCACAGACTTCAGTGGAGAATGTCAAGGACAGATAAAAGTTGCTATTTCCCCTTTGGAAAGTTTGATGCACTTCAAAGAAGAAAGGCAAGCAAGACGTGGCTTGGATACCCCCGGATCACTGGTATGTATCCTGAGTCAATCCCCTAATCAGTCGGGTTCTACTGAGGAAAACCTTTGTAGCTTGTAGCAAGATCCTTTATATGTGTTTGATACTTCCCAACTTACAAAACGCATGTATTTATGATCTCCTACTCTCCCATGACCTTTCTGTTCATGGGAGAAAAATGGTGTGGAATTACATAGTGCACAACTCTGAATATACCAAAAACCATGGAAATGAACACTTTCCAAGTGTGAATTTTGTAATACATAAATTTAATTTATGTATTACATAATGTATTACATAATTTATATAAGACTATTGATTGAAATTTTTTTCATTCTCTTACATTTAAATTTTTCTTTTTTTTAAATTTTTTTCTTTTATTATTTTATCTTTTAGAAAATGAAGCGAGATGGGATGGGGGGAATTGACAATATAATATATATGGACAACTCTTACAAGTAGTTTAACTCCAAAGGAAAGAAGAATCTTTTAGACTGCCCAAGAGAGGGAAGATCTGTCAAGACAAAAATTATGTTATTCCTTTCTTTATATCACATGCCTGCCTCAAGGCCTGCTAGCATGAGCATCAAGAAATACTGAATGTGGCCTCTCTGGTGGCACAGCAGGTTGAGCGCTGCGCTGTGAAGCTGTCTGCAGCCTCTGCAGCTCGGGTTCGATTCCTGGCCGACCAGGGAGAAACCCACATGGCACAGCAGACCTCTCCTGCCTCGCCTGCTGCTCCTCTCAGCAGTATCTTCAGTCTGTCTCTCTGTTCTGCTCCTTGCTCTCTCTGATGAATTCTCTCACCCTCCCGTGCCTCTCACATGTACCCCAGTTCTTATATAAATAAGTAAATCTTTAAAAAGAAAATTAAACAAACAAAAAAAAATACTGAAAGAACAAATGCAAGAGAAAATGACAAAAAGTTAAATGGCCCCTGTATGAAAAGGTCTTTTCCATCAATTCAATCCTGGTAGTCAGGAGAAAGGAGGTATCACAACCAAATTATCCTCATATGTAAATGTAAGATGATGTCTAACCAGGAATTAAGAAACTAACTAGATGGAGCCTCCCTGATGGCACAGCAGGTTGAGTGCCGTGCTGTGAAGCTATCTGCAGCCTCTGCAGCATGGGTTCAATTCCCAGCCAGTCAGGGAGAAACCCACATGGCGCAGCAGACCTCCCCTGCCTTGCCCGCTGCTCCCCTCAGCAGTGTCTTCAGTCCGTCTGCCTGTTCTGCTCCCCGCTCTGTCTCTGGTGAATTCTCTCACCCTCCCACACCTCTGACCTGTACCGGAGTTCTTGTGTGTATAAATAAATAAACAAACAAACTAACTAACTAACTAACTAACCAGAGGTGCAAGAGTGTAAGTATAGAGACAGCAACTAAAAAGCAATCTAATATTATATAGTCTGTAAAATGGGTCTAATAGTCCTATCTCATAAGGTAATTGTGAAGTTTCAATAAGAAAATAACATGTAAATTTCTCGGTACAGTGTTGAATACGTAGAAAATATTCAATGAATTGTGTTTATACACATACATACAATGAATATACTGCAAATTTATTGATGCTCTGCTCTGTTCAAAAGGACTCATGATGACAAGTATACAATTTTTCTCACTACTTCTACAGATCCCGATATACAATCCCTTTTCCTTCCCAGCCTCTGATGTATATGCAGCAATCCCCAGTTGTATTGCAAGACAAACCCCAGAAAAACTTGTCCACACCTCTTCAAAGGAGCTGGATTTCTCCTCTCCTGGGAGGTGAGTGATTTCATGATGAGGGGGAGAAATGGAATCAAAGAATGGAAATGTACAAACTGACTAGTCATTTCTCTTTTCTTTATTAGAAAAAGATACTAGACACAGGAAAGAACTTGTTAATCTTCTGTCACAACCTTTAGGAACTACAGGATCTTCAGTAAACAATTTTTTATAAGATAAGAACTAGAGCTTTCATTGCTATCAAAAGGATGGCTTTAGTGTAAGAAACACTCTTGTCCTCAAAGGCCTTTAATCTTTATCCCTAAAATCAGTCATCAGCTATGTGACAAGCATAAGATCTTTCATCTCCCAAACCATTTTACCAGGTTATTTTGTGCAAAGCAACTGGCCCAACCTTTTCTCCAAACCACGCATATGTTCATATGTGGACATGCATGTGGATATTAGGTTATTGCTGTGGAAGAGCATGATCTAAGAACAAGAAAGCTTCTTTCCACCTGAATCCCTTCCAGACCCCAGGTCCATATGATCTCCACAAGTCTTTCATGTCTTTCTCTCCTCCTCAGGGAAAACAGATGGGATCTTTCCTATCAGCAGGCACTTCTACAGCAGCAGTTACTGAGTAGTCCTTTTATTCCAAGAAAAACACTCTCTAATGCTACTTAGCCTGTTTCAGTGCCATATAGCTTTCTACACCAAGAGATCCTCTATCCTCTACAGAAAGGGAGCCTATGTTTCTGTCAAATCCTATCTCCCAGTTTAGATAATTTCTCAGTTTCTTTGATTATAGTCAATAAGTGAACCATAGAAAGAAGATGAAAGTACTGATGTAAGGATAGAAATATACTGTTTAGTAATTGTTAAAGTTAAAAGTTTAGTACCTTTTTTTTAATCCACATAGATATGTGCCTGTTCCCACTACAAAAGAGGCTCATGAAAATGTCATATTCTAATCCAGACAAAGCTAACCAAATTGTTTATTAATATAATGGAATACTACTCAAAAATAAAAAGAAATGAAGTATTGATATACCACAAAGTGAATAATTGTACGAAGAGAAGTTGGACAAAGAAAAGTATATTATTTGTATAAAATTACTAATCTATAATGACAGAAAAAAATCAATGTCTGCCTAGGCTCAAGGCATGATGAATAAAGATGGAAGGAAGAAGGAATTACAAAGAATAGGAGGAAACTTGGGGATAATGGGTGTGTGTTCATTATCTTGATGTTGTGGTAATGGTTTCCTTAGATGGACAATAAGCACATGAATAGATACCTATTATTCATCAGGAAAATGTAAATGAAAACCATGAGATATCACTTCACACCCACTAGGATTGGGATGTGGAGAAACTGGAACACTCAGATATGGCTGGTGGGATTGTAAAATGTTACTGTTGTTTCAGCAGACAGTCTGACAGTTTCTTAAAAGGTTAACCAGATAATCCAGCAATTCTACTCTTAGGTATATACCTGAGAACTGAAAACATGTCCACACAAAAACTTATATATTAATGTTTGTCACTGTATTGTTGTAGAGCAGCCCCGATATTAAACGGGTTCCTGGCTGTGGGTCCTCACCCACGCGCTTAAAAGGGACTTATGAATACTCCACTACAGGCACACACAATAGGTTAATAAAAGGTTTATTTACAAGGGAAAAGGAAATAAGGAAAATGTACAACTCAGGGAGAAAATAGGGAAATAAAGTCTTTAATGCGTCCTACCCGATCCGACGACCAGAGCTGGCCGGACGGCTGCGAGCTGGCGGAGAGCCAAAATGGGGATCCCCCAAAGCCCACATGTCTGCCTTTTATCTCATCCTGGCTGCTTAACCCCACCCTCAGGTCCCAGCCACCTTCCCTTTGGTGGTGATGGGATTTGGAGTTCCCAGTGTCTTTGGCTTTGGCCTGGGGTGGGGGTGGAGTCCACAAAGCCTGTATGGAATTAGCTTTAGGACATCCTTTTCCCCCTAACAGTATCACTCCTAATAATCAAAAAATACAAACAACGCAAATACCCATCAGCTGATCTGTGGATTTAAAAAAATGGAATATTACTCAGGCATAAAAAGAGTGAAGTACTGAAACATGCTACAACATGGATGAAGTATTTGAAAACATTAGGCTAAATGGAAGAAGCCAGTCAAAAACACCACATTGTATAACTTCATTTATGTGACATATCCAAATTAGATAAACTTACAGAGACAAAATAGATTAGTGATTGCCTAGGAGTGGGAGATTTGAGTGGGCACTGAGAAGGAAGTGGAGTGATTGCTAATGGGTGTGGGGTGGGTTTTGTTTTTTTTTTTTTTTTTTTTTTTTTTTCAGTTAATGACAGTGTTCTAAAAGTGTGGTGATGGCTGCACAACTCTGAATATACTAAAAAAAAATGACTTGTACACTTTTAAATGAATGAATGATGATATGTGAATTAACTCTGACTTATTTTTTTAAAAAGTCAGAATATTGGTGGAGTCAAGTTCTTGAATACCAAGGTAAGGAATTTGAGATTTGTTCAATAGATTCACAAAGGAGCCAAAACTATAAAGGAATGACGCTGAATAAATAGGTTAGTACACGTTGAATGCTTACAACATTGCTTGGCACATAGTCAGGACTCCATAAATACTGCTATTGTTGTTTTTGTTATTTCAGATCTGTGTTTTTAAAAAATCACTCAAGGCTATATATGTATCAAATTTATTAAAAGGCAATGAGTAAGACTGAAGGCAAGATTATTGGGAGACAGTTGTAATTCAAGCAAAGTCAATGAAGCCAGAACTGTGGTAGTGAAAATCAATTTACAGTACCATTTCAGGAGGGTGATTTGTGATTATTGGGAATTTATTTTGCTCCCATTTACTCCTGACAGAAGCACTGCTGCAAGAAGCCAGGCATCACGCCATGAAGAACATGTGCAGAATATCCGTCGATTTCATGAATCCCTGCAACAGGGAGAGGCAGTCTTGCTAAGTGAGGACAAACTGACCCCATCACCTTTGTCTTCCCAGACTTCCATTCTGACTTCGCTCAGGTAAGGCTCTCTGCTGAGAAAAGACACAGGAAATCATAGTGGAGCACAGGGGAATGGACAATGGCAATGTGCAATACTGCTTTCCCATCAGCTGCCAACACTCTGGGAGGTTTAGTGTAGGGAATTCTGTGCATTTTAGGATCAAATTGGACCCTATAGTCTTGTAGGATTCTTCATAGATGAATGATGTCTTGGGGTCTCCCCTACCCTCAGGGATCCCTATTACTAATCCACCTATAAATACAAGTGGATTTATTATTTTTTTTTTTTATAGAGGCATTTTTTTTGTTTTGTTTTGTTTTGTTTTTTATTTGTTTGCTTTGTTTATACATGCACTGGGTAGTCAGAAGCACGGGAGGGTGAGAGAATTCACCAGAGCCAGAGCGGGGAACAGAGCAGGCAGAAGGACCGAAGTACACTGCTAAGGGGAGCAGCGGGCGACAGGAGAGGTCTGCACGCCATGTGGGACCCTCCTCAGGTGGCCGGGGAGCAGCCGGGGATCGAACCTGTGCCGCATAGGCTGCAGGCAGCTTTGCAACCCAGCGCTCAACCTTTGCGCCACCGGGGAGGCCCTAAATACAAGTGGATTTAGAATGCTCACCAAATATAATAATAATCACCATCACATCTACTCAACCTCACATCTGCTTTACAATTTACAAAACTTTATCTTGTTCACCATCTTTATCCTCGAAATTACTGGGATTCTTCCAGACCTGCATCTATCCTATTAGTGCTTCCCTGTCCTTTTCTTAGATTAGTTAGCATCTGAACCACAAGAGTATTGTGACACTTGAAAGGGTCATTATAGACCATTTAGCTCAGCCCTGGATTATCTCGTAGGAGGTTGTGGTACAGAGAAAAGAACTTGGCTTCAGAATCAGGATGGGGCCTGAGAATTTCCATCTCTAACAAAGTTCTCAGGTGACCCTGATGATTTCACTCCTAAAACTAAGTTTTAAGAATTGTTGCCCTAGAGGAATTTTCTATCATATGAAGATAAAACAAGATAATGCCAATTTTACATTACTTCCTTGGTTTCCAGAGCCATAAAATAGTGTTTTATTTTAGGTCACAATAATCCTGTGAGGATTGCAGATAAGAAAATTGTAATTAGTAGGTTCTACATCCAGGGCCACTGATATGCCAGAAGGGTCTGCATATTTTTCAAAGCTGCAAGTTTATACTTGTTTTCATATTCCTACTACAGGTGTTTATTGATGCAGCACAAGCTCTAACATCTTACATAAATACATTGTGACTTGATAAGCACCATGACTTCTAGTGGTGGAATAAGGTTCAGCATTGTCCTTTTATTTAATTTGGATTTATCCATAGGACACATAGCCTGTCCCTAAGAAAAGGATAGAAAGACTTTCAGTTCACTTCACAGGTACTTACTGTCTGTTTTATGCCAGTTGTTCCAGGCACATTGAGTGTACCAGAGAAGTGGAGACATTTGAGATATTATTTTCTAATAGTACCAGATGCTCATAGCCTAATTAGGAAAACTAAACTAACACATAATGAGAAAATAAAGGGACAGTCTAACACAGAGTTGATGGGCATGCGGAAAGTGAAGGAATTTAAAGGAGAGTTCGGCCAATGATTTGAGGTGATGGACTTGGAAAAGGAGAAATATGAGCTGCACCTTTTAAGTCGCATAGAATAGGGATGGAGCAGGGAGTAGTTTGAACTCAGGTTCCAAAATGCAAAAGTGAGGCAGGAATGAGCCCAGTTGGGACAGAGCCCACCTGTTATCCTGAAAAAAGAGTTGGAGTCCCAAATCCTGGATAGCACATACTCACTCTTACCACCTACTACTGCTTACCCTGAACAGAATTTAAATCCTCTGGCCTTCACATGCCTGATTTGTAAAACATTAATTACTGATCTCATCTGGTTGACTGGGAATTAAAAAAGCATGAAATGTAAAATCCTATGCAAATGAAGATGGTAGTGGTTGGTGTGATTTCTAATTGGAGAGTGTTAAGAATGATGGTGGCTCCATTAAAGGATTTTTTTAACAGATTTTTTTTTTTAAAGTCATTTGTTCATGTCTGTTAAGCATTCACATTCATTTATTTTGTATCAAGCTCTATCTTGGGTGCAGTAGATATGAAGGAATTAGCACAGAGCTCACAGTACATCAAGGGAAAGCAGTATGAAACAAACAAGTGATGTGATTGAAGAATACAGAAACAACTTCAGTGCTCAGAGAAGGAAGCCTTAACCAGGGTCAGAGAAGGCTTGCTAAAGAGGGCACTTGTTTGAAGGATTAGGAACAGTTATGAGGTAGCCATGGTCAGTGTTAGGCCAGGGGAATCACATTAGCCAGACAGAAGCAGGGGAAAGATGTCCCCACCAGTGGGATTATAGTCAGAGAGGTAAAGGGATGAATCGGTGGGTTGGAGTGGGGCCCTTAGTATTAACAGACCAAGTGAAAAATATGTCAGGGGAATATAAAAAATGTTTCTAGGGTCTCCCCTGGTGGTGCAGGCGGTTGAGCGCCGCACTGTGAAGCTGTCCGCAGCCTCTGCAGCGCCGGTTAGATCCCGGCCGGCCAGCAAGGGTCCCACATGGCGCAGCAGACCTCTCCTGTCTTGCCCACTGCTCCCCTCAGCAGTGTATTTCATCAGTCTGCCTGTTCTGTTCCCCGCTCTGTCTCTGGTGAATCCTCTCACCCTCCCACGCATTTGGCCTATACCCCGGTTCTTGTATAAATAAATCTTTTAAAAAAAAAAAAAAAAGTTTCTAATCCCAGTGAATAACCTTTGTGTCCTCTTCTTTTTTTACAGGAGGAATCTGAATGAGCTAGACCAGATGCAGCGGTACTTCAGCCAGAAACTCACCAAGCCTTTACTTCCCTTCAGTCCTCAGACTCACACCTCCATCTTGCAAAGCCACGAGAGCCATAAGGATCATCTGGGGCCAGGAGTCAGCAGCCTAGACCCTGAAAGTCAGTGCATCCTGGAGAAATCCAGTAACCTAGTATTGCAAGTCAGCTCTTTAATCTCAGGTATGGCTCAAGGCCCCTCTGGTTGAGGAGTTATGATTTCTGGGTACCCGTTCAAAAAGCTTTGAATGTCTGCCCTCAGACAAACTCCACTGACAAATAGAAACCAACAGCTTCCCCATCTTCCTTATTTTTTCTTTCACTTCTTCCTTTTTTTCTTTCTCTATTATCTTCCTTATGAAAGAAAAGATGTAGAAGCAAAGCATAGAGATCCAGGCAGTGGGAAGAGTGTTGGACTGAGAGGCAGGAGACCTGGTTAGGTCTTTGAGTGGGTTTCTGACATGGGCTTACTGTTTGACTCTGTGCATACTTAGTTCTTCAGTACTTCAGTACTTCCTCAGTACTTACTTCTTCAGTAGCAGTTCTTGAACTTGTGCCACTCTATTTTCAGAAAAAAATAATCAACTACAAACATAATGAACAACTAATTCTCAGAGCCCAGAAGTGTGCATTTGTAGCAAGCACCCCAGATGATTCTGGATGTTGGTGGTCCATAATCCATCCCTTGAAAAAAACCTTAAAGATGATGGTTCTCATTTGGCTGGATTTTAGAATCATTGAAGGAGCTTTTAAAAATCCATATACCATACTTTGTTGCATCAGGATTCAGGCATCAGTATTTTTCATGACTGTCCAGGTAATTCTATTAGGTAGCCCTGAGACCACTCTAGAACAGATATTTTCCAAACTTACCTGAGCACAAAAATCACTTGGGGTACTTATTTTGAAATACAGATTCTTGGGTTCTATTCCATCCTATTGGGTTCTATTCCATCCAGGATTCAGATCTGGCCATCTCTATCAGACACACAGTGAAGAATACTGAGAAATCAACTCGATCTGCACCCTCACTTGGTATCATTTTTGCTCAGGTTAAATGTGTAGCTTCTATACAGGGATGACTAAGTTTAGTTGTCTCTCTTTAAAGGGTCAAAAGCCATGACTGATAATAGGTACAAACCTTCTTTCTACCTTCTTCTGGAAGGTTACCAACAGGGCTCCAGAGGTATACTATGTATTTGGCTTCCACTACCTTAAAACTAGTCCATCAGCTATTTATTGAGTACCAACTATGCCAGGCGCTATTCTGTTACTAGTTCCAGGGGCATAGAGTGGTGGACAAGACAGGCATTGTCTCTGCTTTCATCAAGACAGGCATTGTCTCTGCTTTCATCAGACATACAGTCTGTAGTCAACGGAAGAAACTGGTCCTCAGAAAGAAAATGTAGGATCAAAACAAAGGGAGGTTTATTTGGAGTAGAGGTGAGAGAAAATAGGGGATCTTTTTAAAGGGGAATATTAAAAGAGGAGAGAGAATAGAATGGAGGGATTGAAGTTGGTGGGCCTTGAAGCCAAGCTTAGGAGTTCAGTCTTTATCCAGAAAAAACAATGACAATGAAAATTGATTTTCACAAGGAGAGCATAGATTTTGAAAGGGAAAGACGAAACTAGTTTCTAAAAGCTCTCCCCCCATCATGTCTCAGTCATTTTTGAAGAAGCCATTTACACAAGTGAAGCTTGAAAATGAATCACTGAGTATAGGGTTTCATTTATGCCACATCTATGTACCGGGTCATTTGCTGAAAATGCAACATGAGTAGACATAAGGTCCCTGCCTTTGAGAAGGTCACAATCTGGTAAGAGAAACAGACAGACTGACAGTTATACATAGCATGTTCTTAAGTGCTTCCTGGTAGACAAAGCCATATAGCCATCCATGCAGCTGGTACATCTGGGAAGACCTCCTGGAGGAGATGCATTAGAACGGGGTCTTAAAGGATGGACTGGCTAGTTTGTATAAAGCAGAAAGACTTCTCTAAGAACAGTAGTTCAGGTCAAAGAAGCAATATTGAGTCAGTCTGCTTCCTGATCCCCGTCCCTCTTTGGAGGTAGGGATGTTCCATTTTCATGCATCTACTCGCTTCCCCTTTGAGACCTAAAAATATTAGAGTATTAAACTCCACCACACCTTCCAGTAGGCTGAGCACTCCGTTAGG